GGGCAATACTTGGGGCAATATAGTGTATATACGGGGGGGGGACAATACTTGGGGCAATATAGTGTATATACGGGGGGGGCAATACTTGGGGCAATATAGTGTATATACGGGGGGGGGGCAATACTTGGGGCAATATAGTGTATATACGGGGGGGGACAATACTTGGGGCAATATAGTGTATATACGGGGGGGCGGGGGACAATACTTGGGGCAATATATACGGGGGGGGGGCAATACTTGGGGCAATATAGTGTATATACGGGGGGGGGCAATACTTGGGGCAATATAGTGTATATACGGGGGGGGGACAATACTTGGGGCAATATAGTGTATATACGGGGGGGGGGACAATACTTGGGGCAATATAGTGTATATACGGGGGGGTACTTGGGGCAATATAGTGTATATACGGGGGGGGGGCAATACTTGGGGCAATATAGGTGTATATACGGGGGGGGCAATACTTGGGGCAATATAGTATATATATACGGGGGGGGGGGGGGCAATACTTGGGGCAATATAGTGTATATACGGGGGGGAACAATACTTGGGGCAATATAGTGTATATACGGGGGGGGGGGCAATACTTGGGGCAATATAGTGTATATAACGGGGGGGGACAATACTTGGGGCAATATAGGTATATACGGGGGGGGGGCAATACTTGGGGCAATATAGTGTATATACGGGGGGGGGGGCACAATACTTGGGGCAATATAGTGTATATACGGGGGGGGGGCAATACTTGGGGCAATATAGTGTATATACGGGGGGGGGCAATACTTGGGGCAATATTGTATATACGGGGGGGTACAATACTTGGGGCAATATAGAGTATATACGGGGGGGGGGCACCGTGTATCTATGTAGGTGTTTGCCCAGAATGCAGCTTTGATGGAACTGTCCCTCTCTGGGTAGGATGGGGGAGGGTCCGATATTCAGCGCTCGTGCTGCAGGTGATGGATGGGCGCTGGCCTTTCCCTCCCATCTATATACATTGGACAGAATGGGGCTGACGCCTGAAACAGGAGAAGACAAATACGGGGAGGAGGCGGCCATTGTGCGGACTGTGTGGGGTGTAGCGCCTGAACAGGAGAAGACAAATACGGGGAGGAGGCGGCCATTGTGCGGACTGTGTGGGGTGTAGCGCCTGAACAGGAGAAGACAAATACGGGGAGGAGGCGGCCATTGTGCGGACTGTGTGGGGTGTAGCGCCTGACACCGTCCTCTAAGTAGCGGAAGATCCAGGTAAACATGGCGGCTGGCGGGGAATCAGCAGAACGCGCTCAGACCTGCAAGACAAATACACCTGGAGTACGCATCACGCCCAGCGAGGTTAACCCCTGCCTGCCCTGTCCATGGAGGAACTCAGAAACTATACCCGTCCGCAGTGATAGCATGAAAACCTGCACTGTATTCTGTGTGTGGTTCCTGTACCTCACCCACTCAGGGCCCTGGGATACTTACCTTCCCCTCCACCCGTCACCAGTATTGTCTGTGGTCTCCCTGCAGCAGAGGGCAGAGGATCAGTCACCAGTATTGTCTGTGGTCTCCCTGCAGCAGAGGGCAGAGGATCAGTCACCAGTATTGTCTGTGGTCTCCCTGCAGCAGAGGGCAGAGGATCAGTCACCAGTATTGTCTGTGGTCTCCCTGCAGCAGAGGGCAGAGGATCAGTCACCAGTATTGTCTGTGGTCTCCCTGCAGCAGAGGGCAGAGGATCAGTCACCAGTATTGTCTGTGGTCTCCCTGCAGCAGAGGGCAGAGGATCAGTCACCAGTATTGTCTGTGGTCTCCCTGCAGCAGAGAGGGCAGAGGACCGGTCACCAGTATTGTCTGTGGTCTCCCTGCAGCAGAGGGCAGAGGATCCGGTCACCAGTATTGTCTGTGGTCTCCCTGCAGCAGAGGGCAGAGGATCAGTCACCGGTATTGTCTGTGGTCTCCCTGCAGCAGAGGGCAGAGGACCGGTCACCGGTATTGTCTGTGGTCTCCCTGCAGCAGAGGTCACAGTAGGGACCAGCAGAGGGCAGAGGTCATTGTCTGTGGTCTCCCTGCAGCAGAGGGCAGAGGATCAGTCACCAGTATTGTCTGTGGTCACAGCTCCGGACATCCCGGGAACGAGAGTCGGGCTCTATATACACGGTCATGAAACCCGCAGCCTCTCTCGGAACCGACCAGGTCCCCATACCGCGTGTGTCCATTCTTCCATCCCTCCCTTCAAGGCGCAGTGCTGTCTCCATCCCAACTCCTGCCATGCGCCCGCTGCCTCCATCCCGACTCCTGCCATGCGCGCCCGCCCCTCCATCCCGACTCCTGCCATGTGCCTGCTGCCTCCATCCCGACTCCTGCCATGCGCCCGCCGCCTCCATCCCAACTCCTGCCATGCGCCCGCCGCCTCCATCCCAACTCCTGCCATGCGCCCCGCCGCCTCCATCCCAACTCCTGCCATGCGCCCGCTGCCTCCATCCCGACTCCTGCCATGCTCCTGCCATGCGCCCGCCGCCTCCATCCCGACTCCTGCCATGCGCCCCACCCCGCTCAGCCATCCATCCATCACAACTCCTGCCATGCGCCCGCCGCCTCCATCCCTGCCAACTCCATGCCAACTCCTGCCATGCGCCTGCCCTCCATCCCAACTCCTGCCATGTGCCTCCATCCCGACTCCTGCCATGCCCCGCCGCCGCCTCCATCCCATGCGCCGTCCATCCCGAACTCCTGCCATGCGCCCGCCGCCTGCCTGCACCCGTGCCTCCATCCTGACTTCTGCCATGTGCCTGCTGCCTCCATCCCTGACTCCCATGCCATGCGCCCGCCGCCTCCATCCCAACTCCTGCCATGTGCCCGCTGCCTCCATCCCGACTCCTGCCATGCGCCCCATCCCAACTCCTGCCATGCGCCCGCCGCCTCCATCCCGACTCCTGCCATGCGCCCGCCGCCTCCACCCCGCTCAGGCCATGCGCCCGCCATGCCTCCATCCCGACTCCTGCCATGCGCCCCCGCCGCCTCCACCCCGCTCAGGCCATGCGCCCGTGTCCTCCATCACAACTCCTGCCATGCGCCCGCCGCCTCCATCCTCAGACTTCTGCCATGTGCCCACCCGCTCTGCGCCCGCTGCCTCCATCCCGACTCCTGCCATGCGCCCGCCGCCTCCACCCCGCTCAGGCCATGCGCCTGTGTTCTCCATCACAACTCCTGCCATGCGCCCGCTGCCTCCACTCCGCTCAGGCCATGCGCCTGCCGCCTCCATCCCGACTCCTGCCATGCGCCCGCCGCCTCCACTCCGCTCAGGCCATGTGCCCGCCGCCTCCATCCCGACTCCTGCCATGCACCGCTGCCTCCACCCCGCTCAGGCCATGTGCCCGCCGCCTCCACCACCCCGCTCAAGCCATGCGCCTGCTGCCTCCACTCCGCTCAGGCCATGCGCCCACCTCCTCCACCCCCTGCTCAGGCCATGTGCCCACCGCCGCCTCCACCCCGCTCAGCCATCAAGCCATGCCTGCCTGCCGCCTCCACACTCCGCTCAGGCCATGCCCGCCGCCTCCATCCCGACCCTCCACCCGCTCAAGCCATGCGCCTGCCGCCTCCACCCCGCTCAGGCCATGCGCCCACCGCCTCCACCCCGCTCAAGCCATGCGCCTGCCGCCTCCACCCCGCTCAGGCCATGCGCCCACACCTCCTCCACCCCGCTCAGGCCATGCGCCTGCCGCCTCCACCCCGCTCAGGCCATGCGCCTGCCGCCTCCACTCCGCTCAAGCCATGCGCCTGCCGCCTCCACTCCGCTCAGGCCATGTGCCCACCTCCTCCACCCCGCTCAGGCCATGAGCCCCGCTGCCTCCAGGCCATGTGCCCACCTCCTCCACCCCGCTCAGGCCATGAGCCCGCTGCCTCCACCCCGCTCAGGCCATGCACCCGCCGCCTCCACCCCGCTCAGGCCATGCGCCCGCTGCCTCCACCCCGCTCAGGCGCTCATGGCGCTATTTCTGAAGCCGATACATTGTTGCTTTTGTCACCAAGCAGGACTTGGGATCTGGTAATGGCGGCGGCACGGTTCACTTCCCTGCTCAGCGGTTGAATGCTCGCCCTTTACATCCTCCAGGTGCTTCTCCCGGCACTGCACCTGCGTCTCCTTTGTCCGGGGCAGGGTGACACCCGAGGCCATGTGTCACTGACAAGCCAGAGAATGGAGGGATTCTGCTAAGTGTGTTTGTTTTTACATGAATCACAACACGTGTGTGGGGAGGTCAGCACCTGCGCTCACCTGTGCACGCCTCTGTTAGAGGGTGCGCTCAGACTTATCATAACAAGGGAGGTCGGGGTCACGGCTGTCACTCTTCTCATTGTGAGGAGGCAGGAAATGCCGATACCACACCGTGCTGAGAAAACTGCCGGCCGGCCCCCATTGTCCTCCATCCCGAAGTCTACAGACACAGGAGATTCATCTGCTTGTATTTCACCTTCCCTGCACCCTCCCCCCCCCATATGAAACCTTACTCTACACCACATGATGTCATCACTGGGTCTCTGTGCTTCTCTCTGCAATGCAAGAAGATCATGGCTGGTGGGAGAGGCTGGCAGGGGGCTGTACATATCTTCCTGAAAACATCACAGCCCCCTGCCTCAGAACTCTTCTATAGAGCCCTCAGTCCTGATGTAAGCAGTGGGAGGAGCTATGCAAATTAAGTCGGGATGGGTGGAGTCACTTTGGAGGAGTGGGCGTTTCTGGGCAGGTTGTATTTATATGTAGACCACCCTAGGTAACGCCCACATGTGATGCGGAGCCTCAGTGATTGAAAGAACTGTTATCCAAAGATTGAAAGGGGCGGGGGTCAGAGACACTCAGGCTGCGGAGGACGTCCTCCAGCCAGAAAATGAGGCGGGCCCCAGTGAATGAAAGGGGTGGGGCCAGGGACAGTCAGGCTGGGGAGGAAAGAGCTAGATCATGCTGGACATCCTCCAGCCAGGAAATGGGGCGGAGCTCTATCTGACTTGCTGCAGCTTCTAATGAGAAGCTCCCAGTGTGCGGTGACATCAGAGGAGGACATTCCAGTCCAGGGGAGGAGCCAATACACCTGTGCAAGACTGAAGGGGAGGAGCCGGTACACCTGTGCAAGACTGAAGGGGAGGAGCCGGTACACCTGTGCAAGACTGAAGGGGAGGAGCCGTTACACCTGTGCAAGACTGAAGGGGAGGAGCCGGTACACCTGTGCAAGACTGAAGGGGAGGAGCCGGTACACCTGTGCAAGACTGAAGAGGAAGAGCTGTGCAAGACTGAAGGGGAGGAGCCGGTACACCTGTGCAAGACTGAAGGGGAGGAGCCGGTACACCTGTGCAAGACTGGAGGGGAGGAGCCGGTACACCTGTGCAAAACTGAACGGGAGGAGCCGGTACACCTGTGCAAGACTGAAGGGGAGGCGTTGGTACACCTGTGCAAGACTGAAGGGGAGGAGCCGGTACACCTGTGCAAGATTGGAGGGGAGGAGTTGGTACATCCAAGGGCGGACTGACCATTTAGCCCCTCAGGAACTGCCCGAGGGCCCGGGGTCAGTAGGGGGCCCCAGGAGATGCCCCTGGTACCTTTAATAGGCTTTTTTGGGTGTGATTTGAGTGTGGGCCTCAGGGGCCCCATGATTTCCTATTGCCCAGGGGCCCCATGAGTTGTCAGTCTGCCCCTGGGTACACCTGTGCAAGACTGAAGGGGAGGAGCCGGTACATCTGTGCGCAAGACTGAAGGGGAGGAGCAGGTACACCTGTGCAAGACTGAAGGGGAGGAGTCGGTACACCTGTGCAAGACTGAAGGGGAGGAGCCGGTACACCTGTGCAAGATTGGAGGGGAGGAGTTGGTACATCCAAGGGCGGACTGACCATTTAGCCCTCAGGAACTGCCCGAGGGCCCGGGGTCAGTAGGGGGCCCCAGGAGATGCCCCTGGTACCTTTAATAGGCTTTTTTTGGGTGTGATTTGAGTGTGGGCCTCAGGGGCCCCATGATTTCCTATTGCCCAGGGGCCCCATGAGTTGTCAGTCTGCCCCTGGGTACACCTGTGCAAGACTGAAGGGGAGGAGCCGGTACATCTGTGCAAGACTGAAGGGGAGGAGCAGGTACACCTGTGCAAGACTGAAGGGGAGGAGTCGGTACACCCTGTGCAAGACTGAAGGGGAGGAGCCGGTACACCTGTGCAAGTCTGAAGGGGAGGAGCCGGTACACTTGTGCAAAACTGAAGGAGGAGCCGGTACACCTGTGTGAGAATGAAGGGGAGGAGCCGTACACCTGTGCAAGACTGAAGGGGAGGAGCCAGTACACCTGTGCAAGACTGAAGGGGAGGAGCCGTACACCTGTGCAAGACTGAAGGGGAGGAGCCAGTACACCTGTGCAAGACTGAAGGGGAGGAGCCAGTACACCTGTGCAAGACTGAGGCCATTTTTGATTTTATTTCCAGTTGTGGGATTTCTTAGCTGATGAAGTTGTGGAGATAATTTGACAATAACTTATAGAGTACAAATGTTTCTTCACACACTCGATGACAAGTCGGAGTTCCCCTTCAATTGTCTGCAAAATGTTTTCCATTCTTACTGAAAAGAAACAAAAGAAGTAAATGACTGAAAATGTGACAAACGTTGGATCACAATGCGGCTCCCAGACCGGTCTATGAACAGACGACGACTCGCAGCGGGAAGTGAGAAGAAACCTTTTCAGCAACAGAAAGGAGTTTATTTTTAGATGACAATGACACCCGGCGTGCTGGAAAAGTCATATTCAGGTGTGTGGGCGGGAACACCCAACAAGGACTGACCAATAGGAGACAAGAGTTACATAACACCAAAGTGAGATCTTCATAAAGCAGAGCGAACATTCGCACCGCCATCCAATCCATTGGAGATCAGAAAATCCAACCATCATCCATTTACAGATCGCATCATCCACCAAGAATGGCCGCCATTCATTGATTGGTCCCTTGGACCCAATCCCAGTTCCGTTCTCCTCCTGGAGTGTATGGGACCCCAACAATCACCTTCTTATATGTACCAAGCTGGCCAAAACATGGCGGCACATGAATCGCAGCCTTTTTCTATCTGTTTGATCCTGCCAGAAATCCTGTGAGCTGACAGTTGTCACCTCAGGTAACAGGAAGTGCCTGAAAAGGGATCTTCTTGGCAGGATCACCAGGAATCAATACAAGATGCAGATTCCAAGCGATTGAAGCCGGCTTTGGGATGCAGCTTCGGGGAGGTGTTAGCGGTTGGGTCCAGATGGACTTTCATTGCAGCTCATAGAAATGCTGATTCCCAATCACAATGTAATCAGCTGACACCTTCGGAATTCTTTGAGTCGGATTCTCCTGGATGTGAAGTCGGAATGCGGCTTTTCTGCGCATCGCCTGGACCTGAATAACAACCGCCAATAAGAACACGCTCGGGACAGAAGTCGGCTTTGTGGCAGAAGTGTACCGAGACCTGGAAAATCCCGTGTTTAGTCTGTAATATTTCCTCCATTTCTCACATCGGGAGCAGAGAGTCCACAATGACATTTCCAGCTGTCAGACCAGCAAAGATACAGAGAAAAAACAACTGCGACTACAGGGGCCTAGAGGTACAACCATCGGTACAGGGGCCTAGAGGTACAACCATCGGTACAGGGGCCTAGAGGTACAACCACGGGTACAAGGGCCTAGAGGTACAACCATCGGTACAGGGGCCTAGAGGTACAACCACGGGTACAAGGGCCTAGAGGTACAACCATCGGTACAGGGGCCTAGAGGTACAACCACGGGTACAAGGGTCTAGAGGTACAACCACGGGTACAAGGGCCTAGAGGTACAACCACGGGTACAAGGGCCTAGAGGTACAACCACCGGTACAGGGGGGCCTAGAGGTACAACCACGGGTACAAGGGCCTAGAGGTACAACCACCGGTACAGGGGCCTAGAGGTACAACCACCGGTACAGGGGTCTAGAGGTACAACCACCGGTACAGGGGTCTAGAGGTACAACCACGGGTACAGGAGCCTAGAGGTACAACCACCGGTACAGGGGCCTAGAGGTACAACCACAGGTACAGGGGCCTAGAGGTACAATCACCAGTAGAGGAGACTAGAGGTACAACCACCAGTACAGAGGCCTAGAGGTACAACCACAGGTACAGGGGCCTAGAGGTACAATCACCAGTAGAGGAGACTAGAGGTACAACCACCAGTACAGAGGCCTAGAGGTACAACCACCAGTACAGAGGCCTAGAGGTACAACCACAGGTACAAGGGCCTAGAGGTACAATCACCAGTAGAGGAGACTAGAGGTACAACCACCAGTACAGAGGCCTAGAGGTACAACCATGGGTACAGGGGCCTAGAGGTACAACCACAGGTACAGGGGCCTAGAGGTACAATCACCAGTAGAGGAGACTAGAGGTACAACCACCAGTACAGAGGCCTAGAGGTACAACCACAGGTACAGAAGTCTAAAGACACAAGCATGGGTACAGGAGTCCAGAGATGCAACCATGGGTACAGAAGCCTAGAGACACAACCATGGGTACAGAAGCCTAGAGACGCAGCCATGGGTACAGAAGCCTAGAGACGCAACCATGGGTACAGAAGCCTAGAGACGCAACCATGGGTACAGAAGCCTAGAGACGCAACCATGGATACAGAAGCCTAGAGACACAACCATGGGTACAGAAGCCTAGAGACGCAACCATGGGTACAGAAGCCTAGAGACACAACCATGGGTACAGAAGCCTAGAGACGCAACCATGGCTACAGGAGCCTAGAGATACAAGCACCAGTACAGGAGCCTAGAGATACAATTACCGTACAGGGGCCTAGAGGTACAACCATATGAACAAGAGTCTAGAGGTGCAACCACCAGTACAGAAGCCTAGAGGTACAACCACCAGTACAGGAGCCTAGAGGTACAGGAACCTAGAGGTATAATCATGAGTACAGGAGCCTAGAGATACAACCATGGGTACAACAGCCTTGAGGTACAACCACCAGTACAGGAGCCTAAAGGTACAACCACCAGTACAGGAGCCTAGAGGTACAACCATGAGTAAAGGAGCCTAGAGATGCAACCATGGGTACAGAAGCCTAGAGACACAACCATGGGTACAGAAGCATAAAAACACAAGCATGGGTACAGGAGTCCAGAGATGCAACCATGGGTACAGAAACCTAGAGACACAACCATGGGTACAGAAAGCCTAGATACACAACCATGGGCACAGAAGCCTAGAGACACAACCATGGGCACAGAAGCCTAGAAGCCTAGAGACACAACCATGGGTACAGGAGTCTAGAGATACAACCATGGGTACAGGATCCTATACATAAAACCATGGGTACAGGGACCTAGAGATGCAACAATCATGCGTACAGGAGTCCAGAGATGCAACCATGGGTATAGAAGCCTAGAGATGCAACCAGGGGAGGACTGACCATTTGGAAACTTAGGCACTGCCCGAGGGCCCTGGGTCAGTAGGGGGCCCCATAAGATGCCCCTGGTACCTTTTTCATAGGCTTTTTTGAGTTTGGGCAAGGACACAGGGGCCCCATGATTCCCTATTGCCCGGGGGCCCCATGAGTTGTCAGTGCGCCCCTGGATGCAACCATGGGTACAGAAGCCTAGAGATACAACCATGTGTACAGAAGCCTAGAGACACAACCATGGGTACAGAAGCCTAGATACACAACCATGGGTACAGAAGCCTAGAGATACAGCCATGGGTACAGGAACCTAGAGTCACAACCATGGGTACAGAAGCCTAGAGACACAACCATGGGTACAGGATCCTAGAGACACAACCATGGGTACAGGAACCTAGAGACACAACCATGGGTACAGGAACCTAGAGATACAACCATGGGTATAAGGATCTAGAGACACAATCATGGGTACAGAGGCCTAGAGATACAACCATGGGTACAGAAACCTAGAGACGCAACCATGGGTACAGAAGCCTAGAGACGCAACCATGGGTACAGAAGCCTAGAGACGCATCCATGGGTACAGAAACCTAGAGACAAACCATGGGTACAGGAACCTAGAGACACAACCATGGGTACAGAATCCTAGAGATACAACCATGGGTACACAGGAACCTAGAGACACAACCATGGGTATAAGGATCTAGAGACACAATCATGGGGTACAGAGGCCTAGAGATACAACCATGGGTACAGAAACCTAGAGACGCAACCATGGGTACAGAAGCCTAGAGACGCAACCATGGGTACAGAAGCCTAGAGACGCATCCATGGGTACAGAAACCTAGAGACACAACCATGGGTACAGGAACCTAGAGACACAACCATGGGTACAGAATCCTAGAGATACAACCATGGGTACAGGAACCTAGAGACACAACCATGGGTACAGGAACCTAGAGATACAACCATGGGTATAAGGATCTAGAGACACAACCATGGGTGCAGAAACCTAGAGACACAACCATGGGTACAGGAACCTAGAGACACAACCATGGGTACAGGAACCTAGAGATACAACCATGGGTATAAGGATCTAGAGATGCAACCATGGGTATAAGGATCTAGAGATGCAACCATGGGTACAGAAGCCTAGAGACGCAACCATGGGTACAGAAGCCTAGAGACGCAACCATGGGTACAGAAGCCTAGAGACGCAACCATGGGTACAGAAGCCTAGAGACGCAACCATGGGTACAGAAGCCTAGAGACGCAACCATGGGTACAGAAGCCTAGAGACGCAACCATGGGTACAGAAACCTAGAGACGCAACCATGGGTACAGAAGCCTAGAGACGCAACCATGGGTACAGAAGCCTAGAGACGCAACCATGGGTACAGAAACCTAGAGACGCAACCATGGGTACAGAAGCCTAGAGACGCAACCATGGGTACAGAAGCCTAGAGACGCAACCATGGGTACACAAACCTAGAGACGCAACCATGGGTACAGAAGCCTAGAGACGCAACCATGGGTACAGAAGCCTAGAGACGCAACCATGGGTACAGAAACCTAGAGACACAACCATGGGTAAAGGAACCTAGAGATACAAATAGCAGTACGGATGTCTAGAGGTACAACCACTTGTACAAGAGCCTAGAGATACAACCAGTAGTACAGGAGCCTAGAGGTACATCAATACCAAACCCCAAAATGTCCGTTCAGCGTTGGACTTCCAGTAAGGTTGGAGGTAATTCTCCTTCCAGGGGATTCCTCTTCTTTATGTATCAGATGTTTATATGTGACGGTGATCCAATGTGTGGATTGGTTGAAGAGCCGCTCTCTTATGTAATCATATAAGTAACATATAATGGAGTATCTCCGCTCTGAATACATGAAGGGGCCACAAAGGGGCTCTTCAGTGCACACAGAAGAGAAGGAAGTCCCCTCCCCTTCTGGTGTGTCATGTGACTGCAGATTCCATTATGTAATACAAATCTAACAATTAGTTT